CACAGTAATATATCGATACTTGCTAGATTCCCCAAACATTCAGCTTTCATATGCATCTTTTGGATCATTCTAATCTATTATAGTTTCTGAGAAAATCACTAAAATGTGAAAACACTGCTTTTTCGAGCATTTTTTCAACTTTGAACATGAATTACAGCCAAACGGCTAAAACCACAGTAATATATTGATACTTGCTATAATAATTTTCTGTAGTCTTTATTATTCATATTTTTAGTACAATATATGTAAGGATTACAATATATGTAAGGATTACTTTGGAAATGATGATTATTGATTTACTATATAACTTCACTTGAAGTATTCTGCGTTTGTGCAAATGTTAATGCTGTAACTGTGAGCAATTGGGGGATTAGAGGAAAGCATCATGCATGGATTCATCGCATATTAATCACACTGTGATGGATATATTTGGAATACCAAGAACCGTTGAACCCGAATCAATTAATCGATGTGCCGATGGGCATAAGGAGAAACGAAACAATTAGAAAGTGCAGATTGTATTTATATTTATATATCGAACATGCATGAATATTCATCGTGTAAACATTAGATTATTAATGATGGGTTAAATTTCCGAAGCGAGATAAAGATCGCATCAATCACTCATCGAAGTCGAACATGTTTCACTCTATATCGTTTTTTCTTTTTTACTACTTATTCCTCCTCCTTCTTCATCTGGCTTCGCCTTTACACGATTTAATGGTAGAACGTAACTGACAGCAGATGCAAATGAAATGGATTCGGATCGGGTATCAATCATTTCCACATGATACCTGACTTCGAAATCGAATTGGTCCACATATTATTTAATTTACGACCGGACAGGACATTGAGACCGTATCGTGTGTGTATGTGTGTATACACGGATCGAGTATGGTAATTGATGTATACCTACATTCTTCGTTCGGGCTACAAACTTAATAAAACACACGCTTGATCCACATTTTGTTGCTCCTTTTCATTTTTTCTCTTTCGTTTCTGTTCTAGATGGTTCTGCCATTTCGACGATGACAACTATGTGAATGTCCCTAGGCTCGTCAGGTTCTTGGGAGATTACAGCCCGATGGAGGATTGGTATTTGGGTAAAACGAGTATACAGGCGCCTCTCGAAATCACCAATAAAGATAAAGTCTCGGTAAGCATAACTATTTCATCTACTTCTTTCATATAATTAAGTAGTTTTTAATTACACTTGTGACATGAAAGAGTATGAATGGAAATTGAAAAATCAATACTTAATCAAGTATTGATGGAATTTCTGCTCTGGAAATGATTGCGAATTAACGAAAGTGCAGCGTCGGACCTTAATTGGCCGTTAGAAATTTAATTAAATTCCAAATCACAAAACCGAAGCCGTATCCATCTCCACCTTCTACCGTACTCGAACTGAATCTCCTCTTATATACTATAGAAAAAAAAAAGCTAAGAAGATCTGAAGAAGTGAACAAAAAGGTAGAGAAATTCCCTTTTAATCTTCAGTGTTAATTAGGCGATTAGTATGCATGGAAAAGCCGTACAAAATCCCAATTAATTTAGTCCCAGAAAGATGGTAGATAATAAAAGAGGCGATGTTACAGTTCCATCCTTAAAAACGTCTTAATGCCATCAAGTTCTTTTTCTTTTCTTTTTCTTTTCCACTTGCATATAAATATTCATGCGGAAAGCGAAACTCGTTATCGAAAAGAGCTAATTTAATTATTTCAGAAACCGTCGATAAATCCTTCTCCATCCGCTCTATCAGATGCGTTTTTAATCCAATTAAATTCGACAAAACACAAGAGCATTTCTGAACGCCGCTGCTGTTGTTGTATGGTTTTTCTCTACTTTTTTTTTTTAAATCTTTCTTTATTATTTTGTGTTGCGGTGTATGCAAATCCTGGAACGAGATACGTTTGCGAATGCATGCAGAAATGTATGGTGCTTCGAATGCAGATTGCTGGAGTTTTTAATCAGAATAAAACGCTCTCGAAAACTGAAAACGTTTCGCGAACTGCGGAAGAAACGCACAGTTTTAAATCACCTTCTAGAAATAAATCCTGCATAATAATTAAGGATATGCAACTTTGCGTATCTACTCTAAAAGAGTCAATGATTTGTGGAATACAGTTTTCTTATTGAAATGTTCGATTTCACTTTTAGTAATGTTAATTACAATTAGATTTATAATAATTGTACTTGAAAAGAAATGGGAATGTTGAAAAATGTTAAATTGTGTGTGGTCATAAGTGCATTGAAAATATCGATTAAACTAGAATGTCCGTAAGAAAGAAATAAAGTGGAATTTATGTAATCGCCGTCGTAGATCATCGAAATCCGTGCGGCTTCCGAGGGATTTAATCAAATAAAGTGGCGAAAGTTGGAAGAACGCTAATGAAATTCCAGTTTTATGGAGAGAGAGAAGACTTTCTGCCATGGTTAATAGACTAGATCAGGAGCTTAACAAGTACGGATTGATAGTGTAACGGTATTTGCGCATTAATAAACTAAGGGGGCCTAGAAAACAGTTAACGATCGATGCAGCAGAGTTAGTTAGCTTAGGTTCCATTGATCCGAATTAAACGAAAAAGCAAGGAAATGTTATAAGTGTATGTATCTGTAGCATGCACGTATTAATGGGTGTGTGTGTGCCTTTCACCGCTTGTGCTTCGGTTCGCTTCCTGGCCAGCAGCAAGCGACCACAGCCCGAGGAGCCTTTCCACTTGGCTGCATCTCGTCCATCAATTCCCAACTAAGGAGCAAAGATCTCTTCGGCTCTGCGGCTCAGAGAACGCTAAAAATCTTTTGAATAAAATTACACAGATTCGAGATGAAGATGCAGAAAAGATGAAGAAGAAAAAATTGTGTTCAATGGTACAAATAATGGGTTGATATTAAATCGCCGCGGTGGATCGGTTTAAAATTACCAAATGGTCGTTGCGGTCGTACGCGGAGGAGCGTGAAAGTGAATCGCGCAATTTTGGTCAAAACCATCTGCGGATGATGGAATTTCACACGGGAATGATCATATAGTAGTACCATGGACAAAAACAAAAAAACAAAATTGAAACAAAACTGGATTCCATAACGGAATCACCGAAATTGCCAATTGACCAGCGACGCCTACGCGGATCAAATTAATCCCACCCTGTCTATCTCTCCGCTCTTCGGTGCGGTAATTAACAGCACCCGTTCATCCAATTACCGGATTAGATTGGATTAAACGCGCGTTCTTAAATAATTGAAACTGCGCGGTGGAAAAAAAAACTAGAATAACAAAAAAAAAGAACAATTAGAGAAGATAAATGGAAATAATGAAGGAGTTAGCACATCTGGATTGTGTGTGCTTGAATGATGGCATATAGTTTCGATGGTGGATAAAAAGCTTCAATGATTGATGCTTGTTCCATCGGTTAAAAAGTTGCCGGAGGCCGCCGAACCCATTGTTATCAATGCTATTATAAATTACGTCCCTCTCCTGATGAATGGCTTTAATATTTAATTACGCGAGGCTCGATTATAATAACGAGCCATTAAGGAATTACGTATGCACGCATTTCGGCGTTCTTTTCCATTAGCGAGAATAGAGCAAAGTTTTTGAAGGCGGGATTTTAAAGGCGAAGTTCTTCTGCGCCCTCTCCCAAAAACCCTGTTTAATCCTTCCTTCTACCCGCAGGAACCATCCACTTCATCCCTTTAGCAACTTCTTAATCTTGCAAAATTCATATTTATAGTTTCTTGTATGTTTTTCTTAATTCATTAAATTACAAGTAATTAATCAATACAATTCGATTGCTCCATTTTCTGTGGACGTTGGATGCATTCATAATAGATCAAAGCAAGTTACCTTATATTGCTTTAATTAATTGCGACCGGTTGTGGTATCAATTATTGATAATATTGTGATGCTGGTATTTTACAGTTAAGAAACCCGCGTTATTTGCTTTTGAAAATAATGGAAAATAAAAGCGAAGAATAAATAAAAAAAAACTGGTGCAGACGTCGACTTATGTTTTAAAGATTACGTCTCGTTAAACTTGGAGAAATGAAAGCGGCGGCGTCTATAAATGACGGAGTGGAGATTACATCAGGGTGGCGAAAAAATAGACTTTGAAGACGTGGAAATATAAAATTATTCGATATTTATGTGATTAATTTGAGGGATTTTAATGATAATTCTTATATGATAGAAGAAATGTTAGTTAATGTTGAAAGTTCAATTAATCATTGATGAAATGTTATAGTTTTGTTGATGTTTGAAGTATTCTGCGGATGATATTAACTGAATGTTAAAGGTGTTACGTTTGATATATTGCTGTTTCGTCGGGATAGAATTAATCTTCTTCGGAGCACATTCATCACCTATTGAGTAATGCGCTGGGGGTTTCGTATCATCGCATAATTTCTGGATCTGCACAATCCGAAGCCGAAAGGAATGCCATCGACTCGTACCATAAATCGAGACGGACAACAATAACAGAAATAATGTTAAATGGATGGACGAAGCTCTTCCTCCGACAGTGTTTAAAAAGCAATTGAAACGGTTGTGTGTTGTGTGCATTCGTTGTGAAGCCGGCGGTCATTATTCAGATTTAAACATGCGGAACTTAATCTTCGTGGAGCGCGAGTTAAGTGTGCCTCTGTTATCTGATAGCAGGAGGAAACCGAGTTTACGATCGGCACGGCGCCGTAAATCTCTGCGGAGTTGACCTGGGCGATCGTCGTCAGTAAGTAGCCTTCTTCTTCGTCTGCATATCCTCTCTCCGACTCTCTCGTTGCGCTCGTTCTGATCTCTAGTCAGGCGAACGAGCGAGAGCGCCCCACGACCACGCCTAATACCACCGTCCGAGGGCGATCATATTTATTAGAAATTAGAAAGGCGCTTAAGTGTTTCAGTCACGATTCGCGTCTTCTGCGAGAGGAGAGACCATTTATTCCTCATACGAGAAGAAACACACCGAATATAGGTGTGTTCCGACGAGGCGAATCTCGGAAACATATATATCACGCCCAGCAGAGAGTTCTTGTATTCTCTCGCCTTTCCAACATCACCAATCATCCATTTTTAAGCACACTTAATTCCTACCCGTGTTCAACGCTCTATCTCGTACTTCTATATATATAAATATATATACACGAATGAACTACTGAACTTTCGACGTTTTTTTTTCCTTCTTTACCTTCGGTTTCACGTAATTGCTGCACGCGCACGCAACACCAACGGTGGTTACGAAATAGGAAATAGCTCAATTCTGTTCAAATGGTAAATTTAAAAATACTAGTAGTAGTTAAAATTATATACCATTAGATTGTTCCAATAATTACACATTTCAAATACACTTTTTACAGTTTCAAATCATAGTTTCCAGAATTAAACAGAAAACTAATGTTAACTTCCCTAAAGTTTTAACTTAAATATTTTCACAATTAATCAAATTTATTAAAATAATATGAGAAAGGTTTTTTTGTAACTTTTCATTATCGAAGTTAAAATTATATACCATTAGATTGCACCAATAATTACACGTTTCAAATACTTTTTTCACAGTTTCAAATCATATTTTCTTTCCTTTAATCCAGAATTAACTTTACAGAAAACTAATGTTAACTTCCCTAAAGTTTTTACTCAAATTATTCAAATTTATTAAAATAATATGAGAAAGGTTTTTTTTGTAACTTTTCATTATCGAAAACTGTTTAACTTGAATACAGATTTAATCTTTAAAAGACTTTACATACTGAACAGTATCATATATTCAGTAATTTTATAGTTTTAAAGTATTTTTTTTTTCGAAATTTTTAACATATTTATCAAATAAAACATTAATGAAAATCTCCAATAATTACACGTTTCAAATACTTTTTTCACAGTTTCAAATCATTTTTTCTTTCCTTTAATCCAGAATTAACTTTACAGAAAACTAATGTTAACTTCCCTAAAGTTTTAACTTAAATATTTTCACAATTATTCAAATTTATTAAAATAATATGAGAAAGGTTTTTTTTTGTAACTTTTCATTATCGAAAACTGTTTAACTTTAATACAGATTTAACTTTAAAAGACTTTACATACTAAACAGTATCATATATTCAGTAATTTTATAGTTTTAAAGTATTTTTTTTTTCGAAATTTTTAACATATTTATCAAATGAAAATCTCCAATAATTACACGTTTCAAATACTTTTTTCACAGTTTCAAATCATAGTTTCTTTCCTTTAATCCAGAATTAACTATACAGAAAATTAATGTTAACTTCCCTAAAGTTTTATCTTAAATATTTTCACAATTATTCAAATTTATTAAAATAATGTGAGAAAGGTTTTTTTTTGTAACTTTTCATTATCGAAAACTGTTTAACTTTAATACAGATTTTACTTTAAAACACTTTACATACTAAACAGTATCATATATTCAGTAATTTTATAGTTTTAAAGTATTTTTTTTTCGAAATTTTTAATATTTTTATCAATTTTGATTATTTTCAAATGCAATTCAACCATTCTCTTTTTATACAGAAGTTCCAGTCACGATCGATTAATTGTTGTCACGATTAATATTTATAGTTATAATAAACGTGTCTGACTTACATCATGATTCAAGATATTGGATCTCTTTACTATTTTAAAGATCTTGAACTACTTCATGGTTTCTTTTGTGATTAACTTCAAACGATTAAAAAATTCTATATAAAATTGTAATGGTAGTGTTTGCGTATGATCCAATTAATTCCAACAGAAATGTGATCGTTTCAACGTAGAGTTTTCTCTTTTTGGGAGCGGAGATCCGGATAACGAGCGTACAAATGGACCGTAGAAAATCGTTATCGTGAGTTATGCGAGTATTTTCTTTACATTTTATTTTTTCTCTTTAAACCCGTCTTGTTTATACCGAAACCCGATGGTCCACACCGTCTATTAACGCTACCAGTCTTTGATCCATTAATTAGAGCTCCCAGATAAACGTCGTCTTCGCTCCAGCTTTTAAAAGTCCGGACTTCATTAAGTAGACTGATTAACACGATCCCGTCTCAGTTTGGTCACATACTTGTCGCAACTTTGCTCGTATCTTTCGATTCGATCTTTCTCTCGTTCCACGCATAAGATACTCTTCACAATTAGAACCTCTGTGCAGCTTTTACACTCAGCGTTAAATGCATGCAATTAATGCGCAACAAATCTCCGATTAAATATGAATAAAACAATGCTCTCTCTGTCTATGCTTCTTGCTCAAATCGTGATTGTTGTGAGAATATACTCGGAGTTAATCGGTTTCTAAAGTTCGTTTTATCTTAATTGGAAACTACAAAGAGGAGGGCCTCAACTAAGAAGTGGTAGCGATTAAAGAAAATTAATTCTTTGAATAATAAACAACAAGGACACTGTACACAATCATAAAGAGTTCAACAATCGTTTTTTTTCTTTACTCAATTTTAATTTCAAATTTCATCGAATCGAAACTAATTAATAAATAGTTAAAACTTTCGACTGTAATTATAGATAAAGTTGTACAAATGTTCGGTTTTTTGTACATTACTTTAAACTTATCTTATGATTATGTGAATGCGAATAAATTTTTGAACTTTATGGAAAGGAGAATTTCTGATATTTAGGTGATTCTGCAGAATGTAAAAATAAAAAGTTACGTGTATATGAAAATGTAAATGAACATGGGTGCATAGGAATGGAGGGAAATTGTGCATTAGCATATGTAAATTCTCTTTAAGTTTAGATGTAAGTGTATTACGTAATTCGTATGCGTTTCTTACAAGAATTTAGGATATTTTATTAGATAAAAAAATTGCAAAAAAAAAATGTTCAATTTTGAAAAGTTATAACAGAAAATTGGTAAGGGCTACAATTCTGATAGTAGGCTTATTGGAAAGGTAATTGTTTTTTCTATAATTTGCATAGTCGATGATTGGATTGGTTTGCGGGGTTATTGAATGATTGAATAAAATGTGAGTCGGGATTTCTTGTTGAAATTAAAAATTGTAAATAGTTTCTATTATAGTTAATCATTAGCATATGTAAATTCACTTTAAGTTTAGATGTAAGTGTATTACGTAATTCGTATGCGTTTCTTGCAACAATTTAGGATATTTTATTAGATAAAAAATTTGCAAAAAAAAATGTTCAATTTTGAAAAGTTATAACAAATTGGTAAGGGCTATAATTCTGATAGTAGGCTTATTGGAAAGGTAATTGTTTTTTCTATAATTTGCATAGTCGATGATTGGATTGGTTTGCGTGGTTATTGAATGATTGAATAAAATGTGAGTCGCGATTTTTTTGTTGAAATTAAAAATTGTAAATAGTTTCTATTATAGTTAATCATTAGCATATGTAAATTCACTTTAAGTTTAGATGTAAGTGTATTACGTAATTCGTATGCGTTTCTTACAACAATTTAGGATATTTTATTAGATAAAAAATTTGTAAAAAAAAAAATGCTCAATTTTGAAAAGTTATAACATAAAAATGGTAAGGGTTACAATTATGATAGTAGGCTTATTGGAAAGGTAATTGTTTTTTCTATAATTTTTATGGTCAATGATTGGATTGGTTTGGGTGGTTATTGAATGATTGAATAAAATGTGAGACGCGATTTTTTGTTAAAATTAAAAATTGTAAATAGTTTCTATTATAGTTAATCATTAGCATATGTAAATTCACTTTAAGTTTAGATGTAAGTGTATTACGTAATTCGTATGCGTTTCTTATAACAATTTAGGATATTTTATTAGATAAAAAATTTGCAAAAAAAAATTGCTCAATTTTGAAAAGTTATAACAGAAAATTGGTAAGGGCTACAATTCTGATAGTAGGCTTATTGGAAAGATAATTGTTTTTTCTATAATTTGCATGGTCGATGATTGAATTGGTTTGCGTGGTTATTGAATGATTGAATAAAAAGCGAGACGCGATTTTTTGTTGAAATTAAAAATTGTAAATAGTTTCTATTATAGTTAATCATTAGCATATGTAAATTCACTTTAAGTTTAGATGTAAGTGTATTACGTAATTCGTATGCGTTTAATATAACAATTTAGGATATTTTATTACATAAAAAATTTGCAAAAAAAAATTGCTCAATTTTGAAAAGTTATAACAGAAAATTCGTATGGGTTACAATTATGATAGTAGGCTTATTGGAAAGGTAATTGTTTTTTCTATAATTTGTATGGTCGATGATTGTATTGGTTTGCGTGGTTATTGAATGATTGAATAAAATGTGAGTCGCGATTTTTTGTTGAAATTAAAAATTGTAAATAGTTTCTATTATAGTTAATCATTAGCATATGTAAATTCACTTTAAGTTTAGATGTAAGTGTATTACGTAATTCGTATGCGTTTCTTACAACAATTTAGGATATTTTATTAGATAAAAAATTTGCAAAAATAAATTGCTCAATTTTGAAAAGTTATAACAGAAAATTGGTAAGGGCTGCAATTATGATAGTAGGCTTATTGGAAAGGTAATTGTTTTTTCTATAATTTGTATGGTCGATGATTGAATTGGTTTGCGTGGTTATTGAATGATTGAATAAAAAGCGAGACGCGATTTTTTGTTGAAATTAAAAATTGTAAATAGTTTCTATTATAGTTAATCATTAGCATATGTAAATTCACTTTAAGTTTAGATGTAAGTGTATTACGTAATTCGTATGCGCTTCTTACAACAATTTAGGATATTTTATTAGATAAAAAAATTGCAAAAAAAAAAAGTTCAATTTTGAAAAGTTATAACATAAAATTGGTAAGGGTTACAATTTTGATAGTAGGCTTATTGGAAAGATAATTGTTTTTTCTATAATTTGTATGGTCGATGATTGCATTGGTTTGCGTGGTTATTGAATGATTGAATAAAAAGCGAGACGCGATTTTTTGTTGAAATTAAAAATTGTAAATAGTTTCTATTATACTTAATCTCGTTGATTTGCATATAAAGTAGTCATGTAATCGATAAACCGCTTCTCGGTTCTTCTATGAAACGAGATTGCACCAGTTTTGTTCTCTTCTCCTGAAATTGGAAGCGTCGCTGGAGTATCAATTAGTCTCTGCGAAAAACGTCGAAGGCCGTTATTAGTTACTAGTCACAAGACTTTTATTCCGATTATCCCCATAAATCCGGAGCGCTCGAGTAATCCGAACGACAAGAGTTATGGTTCGTAATAACTGGAGGAATAAGAAATGTGGAGAAGAAAAAAAGGAGGATGAACGTGCATCCTGCGGTGTTTCTCTGTGCATGCGTGAGTCTTTCTGTGTGTTTGAATGTGCAGTAAACATTTTCTAATTGCGTCTACTTTACTTCTTGTTTTCTCTCTCCTGTTTCCAGCAAAAAGTCAAGTTTTGGTTCGCCACAGGTGGTGCGGGTTTCTGTCTGAGTCGAGCGCTCGCCCTCAAGATGATGCCGGTCGCTAGGTAAGTCCCAAGTCTGAATTCAGAAAACCTTCAGTCTACCTACATACGCATGTATTTCTTTTCTTATTCCTTCGTTTCGTTTCTTAAACCAAAATGAAATGAAATGAGAGAGAGAAAAAAAGAATTGGTGAAGAACGCGAGAATGGAGAGGAGCAGCGCGGAATGTTTCCCTGTTAAAATTCCGAAACCAATTCAGATCGATGTTTTTAATCCGGCCGTTAAGCGTTTTCGGTGGCCGCTCATTAGGGAATACCGGGGGCCGGGAGCCCTCCTAATTCGAAAGTAACAGAAGAGGAACGAAAACAAAAGTAAAAAAGAAGAAATGCGGAGGAGCTTCAAAGCCGACCAACCGAGCCGAAGAGGTGGAGCCCCAGAAAACAAACAGTTTCGTCGGCATCAGAAACAATGAACAGAGAGACAAAAGCTCGAATTAAAAGAATCGTAAAGAAAAACCGCAGTGGAAATATTCAAATAATTGATGTAAAACAAACAAAGTTGAATTTATTCAGAAACAATTATATATTGTAATAAGATTTTCAAGTTCATAATTAAAAATTAGTTGTTTTCAATTGGCAATGTATGAATACTTGCTACATTCCCCAAATATTCAGCTTTCATATGTTTTATCCATTTGGCTGTAAACGTCGTTAAATGTTGAGTTTCACATTTTAGCTGATTTTCTCAAACTATAATAGATTGAATGGATCCAAAAAATGCATATGAAAGCTGAATATTTGGGGAATGTAGCAAGTATTCATACATTGCTGTGGATTTATCCGTTTGGCTGTAATACGCTTTTAAATTTAAGTTAGAAAAAGCAGTGTTTTCACATATTAGTGATTTTCTCAGGAACTATAATAGATTGAATGGATCCAAAAGATGCATATGAAAGCTGAATGTTTGGGGAATGTAGCAAGTATTCATACATTGCTGTGATTTTATCCGTTTGGCTGTAATACGCGTTCAAAGTTGAAGTTTCACATTTTAGTGATTTTCTCAGGAACTATAATAGATTGAATGGATCCAAAAAATG